ATAAACACGATACTTCTTAGAGTGACTACTTGAAGTAACTAAAATAATACATTGCTAAAAAATAGGTATTATGTTGTTAAATGTAATACCCATGAACTGCGCTTTAGAATAAGTAATTGAACATAAGTCATGCATAAATTATACATACCTTATCTATAATTAGTATATAATTTATTTGCACCAAATTGAAATGAAACAACAGTATACTTTTACTTTGCGACAAATATTTTATTAACTTTCCATTTTTTTAAGTGGAGACAAAGTTGATAACTAGGGAAGCATGGAACTTCTGTTACTGACATTTTAACTCTGAGACCGTCGTTGTCTGCAGACTGCCGATTTAATTATAGACACGGTATACTTGCGTAGACGTTTCTATTTTCAGCAAATAAAATTACGTGAGATTCTCTCTGAAAAAAAATATAAATGTAACTCAACTAATTATAACAAACAATTTATTGTCCATAAGCGTACTTTTTGTGTCCAACGAAACAGTTTATCGATCAAAAAATGAAATTTGTGCATGTTACATAAATCGATATCGCCTACATTAACATTAAATATTATTAGAAGAATACATTGTGAAAAATCATTATTCTTCTCAATAGTTTGTATTTATGATAAACTCGGCACCCCCCTTTTTTTCAACGCTAACTCTAAAGACAATACAGACTCCATATTTACAAACATCATAGATATGCGTAATGGTACTCAGTTATTAGTTATTAAATCTAATAAATGTGCGTACATATGTAAAGAAATACAAAAATACTCTTCAAATAAAATGAATAATATTCGCATCTAATATAAAATAAACGCATAAATACTAATACATAAATTCGCAACTATTATATTATTTTCCTTCATTATTCTCATATTAATTGCTTGATTAACAGTATGATATTAAGAGCCTCCTGTTGAAATAATAATAAATTGTAGTGAAAACTGTATCTGTAGCAAATATAAATGTAAATGTAATGAGTTATTTTACAATTAGCCTCTTATCAACTATTAATTCTCAAAGAATGTAAAATGTTTACTTCCTATGTTCTTTAAATTGCATGAAAGAGAGACAAATATTACTGTGCTCGAATTACATGTACATATACAAACATTACATATACATATATACATGTATTGTTTCGTACACCCTATCATTTTGCAAACATTCAATGATAAGTCTGATCATGGTCGTCTTATGATCACTAGCATTTTAGTCGATAGTCGAACTATTTCATGCAGAATTTTCAAAGGCAAGCAATTAAACTGACCGACAATGATCAGACGCAAATAATGTCTGCCACGTAGGTTCGTGACTTAAATTTAATAGCTCGTACTTCGTTTGCATAAAAAATATGTATATAAATTAAAAGTAGAAAAGCTATCAGTATATCTACATGGTATCGCTCTGTTCTTATCTATTTCGCCAAACCTTATATCAAATTATTGTTTACATTACTTTCCAATGAATCATTGCGAGATTTATTAACGTATAACTGAAATTCATAGGATAACACTTCACTATAAACTTGTACCCAGTTTACCAATAAAAAATAATTTTAGGACACTACATTAAATACAAAAGTCATTAACACTGTATAAAATTGTCACATTTAATTAATATTAAATCTTTGCTACTTAGAAACCATAAGAGATAGAACATTATATAGTCAATTTGTTTAACACTACATCTACACATAAGAAAACACTTTTTCTCACTATTAACACAAAAAAATACATATATCTAAAATATGAGTGAAACAAGATAAATTAATGCCAACATGAAACTGAAGATAATAAACTCTGGAATAACAAAAAACGCATTATCTACTAAAATTTACTTTGGAAGGTCAGTATATATAATCTAAATGAATCGTTACTTTATGGATGACCATTTGATAAACAGTACAAAAATCTAGATATACCACATAAAACCCTTTCAATGCCAGCCAAGTCACTATTATGTAACTTAGAAAAATAAATACTTACAGATATTTGATTTTCATTTTTCTACTTTTTTATTCAATGTGTAAATGGAGTTGTCAAATAAAAAGTTAGTGTTCTCAAACTTATTATCAAATAAATATAAAATTCATATAACAATTAGTGTTCCTTGTTTGTGTTACTTTTAACATTACCACTTACATTACGCGACGATTTACGGAAGCAAATAGAAGATCGCACCAAGTACCAAATGTCTTTCCCTGTACACGCTAGATTACAAATAATCAATGATGGCGATTCATATTCATTTGGAACAATACCATCAACAGAAGATTCAAAAAAACTAAATAATGGAAACCATATTCTGGTCCTGTTCGAATCACGTTGCATCAAAGCTTGATTATTTGCTAACGTATGATAATAGAGAAACAGTCGAGAAGTAATATAAAAAGCTACAAAAACATCAATGGAGTAATGCTCATGCGCTGCTAAGATAAAAAATATACCAAACATATTGAGCATCCATGTAAAGGTATGTAAAAAGTACAATTGCGCTGGTGTATCTGTAAACAAAATATGTATTGAGTATTATTCCTATTTTTTAAATAGATGTTTCTTAAACTTTAATACTCACATTCTGTAATGAAAAAATTTAACATAGTGAGAGCAACAGTATGGCCACTAAACATATAATCACCACAGGTTCTAACACCTTGAATAGACATGCCAGCTCCACGCCATATTACATAAGCCATAGCAATCTTATTGTAGAGATCAACATATGCAGGACTATTAAATAAAAATAATTATACATAACCTGTTTAGTAGAGCTTTTTTGAAACAGTAAACTATTACCTTGACCAATCATCAGAAACTGTTCTTGGTTGACACTGCAAATGTGCACCTGGCACTGATAAGGAAGTAATAAGCATTGTAACACATCTCAGTAGAAAAACTGTACCAGATAAAGCAAAGAACCTTCGTAATAAAATAAATCTGCAAAATATATGAATTATTTAAAAATGTCTGCCTTATTTGATTTTGTGTCTGTAATTGATCTTTATAAAATGCAAATTTATTGTAAGATTATACCTGTACTTATGAAAAATTAATACAATTAGCCATATTGCAAAAAGTATAGTTCCTGTGACTTCACACATATCAAATGCCCAAGGAATATGTGGCACATTATCTAGGAATATATCAGGTAATGGAGGATACTTTTTCATGTCTGGTACTCTGTCATGAACAATAACCATCACAAAAGCAGTAATCCATGTAACGATAAATAAATATCCCAAACTAATAAAAGCTTTCCAAATTTCAGGTGGCAAATGTGATGCATGACCATCTTCTGATACAGATGCAGAATAAAACTCATTTTCTATAGAACCTTCACTATTTAATCCATTACTAGGGACCTGCAATCAATACATAAAATCCATATTAGAATATTTTACATATAATGGCATATTTCACAATGTTTATTGAAACATATAAATAAAAAAATCTTACTTCTTGTTTATGATGATTATAAAAAGTTGGCGAAGGATATAAGTCAACATATCCTAACTCAAATAATACTGCCATATTTTCTCTTTTCAATTGGTTTATACTAATACATAATCTTTTTATATCACCAAGTTTCTTTATACACATACGATCTGACTTTAAGTCTTCTTCTTTTAAAGTCAAAAGTGCTCTACCATCAATCTCCTGTTCCAGGAATATATAAGAAAATTTTTCATGTCCAATTTCATCGAGCCAATTTGCCACATCAGTTTGGGTCCAATCAGCTATATTTTTTGCAGGCATTGTTTGTCTAATTAGAAAATTTTAGAAATCCTAAATAAAATTTATTAGAATATCAATCTATAGTTGGATTAATGTTAAAAAGATAGGTAGAAAAAATTAACACATAAGTAAAGAATACAATAAAAATATAATATCACTTATAACCACACATAATAACAATTATTAATAATATTAATAAATATTATAATGATAGGAAGTTATTAATATGGCAAGATATCAGAACTAATAATAGTAATATGAAGGATAACACTGATAGTAAAAATGATGTCTTTATCAACTAGTTTACTAACAAGTTTTTCTTAAAAATTTTGTATCATTTACATTCAAAAACATATGTTGCTAACCTATCCGTCAGAAAAGATCTACTTACCTTAAAAATTTAATTCGTGGATTACCAAAACTAGGCATCACAATTTTTAGTGCGTTTAGTATACATAATGAATAATATATATGATGAATATCATAGTCTTATTGTCAAACGAAAACATGCATTGGCAGTAATATTTGTAAACAACTCAATCCAGACAAAATCATTGATCAGAATGTCACGAGCATTTAGAAACACTCATCAGTTCATTGTTTCGTCGATTCAAAGAACAAAAAAACTAACTTGATCTTGACACATGTTGTAATTACTAAATTCAACACTGAATCTTACAGTAAGTTAGTCATACCGATAAATACTGATAAGTTAGTTTGTTCAACAATGAGAGAGAAATTCCCCAATAAAACCCAGGCGTGATTAAAATATATTTAAATTATTTCTCTCAAGGTAAAAGAAAGATAAAAAAATACATAACATTTTATTTTCTATAAATACATTTAACGTAAAACATCAAATACAATTTGCAACTTCAACTATTTCAACTTTCAACTATGTACGTAGTGACTTTCCATTTCCACTATATGCGTAAACGTAAACAATCTGAAAGTAAATACATATGTATATATTATACATGTACAATCTATGTATATACTTATGTATAAACACTGTAGCCACTAGGAGTTTCGTGTGCTACTATCACTACGCTATAATTTTTCGTTTACCTACAGGTATAAACTTTGAAAGAAGTGCAACAATCTGCAATATATTTTTACAAAAACAGAATGAAATATCTACTATACTACATAATTCATTTAATTTCTACACATTTCGTTTCTTCAAACTTTTTTGTGACAACATAGCCTTAAAATACACCTAGATCTCTAATTGTACAGAACTTTTTGTTAATCGTTCTGCATTATCGATATTATTGAAAATGTCTATTACCATAGACGAGATATAGTGTTAATATATTTTGAAGAAATAGAATAACAAATCTCTTACTAAAAAAATAAGTACTTGTTAAATATAAAATATCAACGAAGCTGCCAAATAAAAAAGGAAAATCAATATGTGTAAACCGAAGTACATATAATGGGTCCTACTTCTACACGCTATTCTTGCTCCCCAAGCTGACGCACACATCCCCCCCCCCCCCCTTTTTTCCCCCCCTCCCCCTTCCCC